TCCTAGTTAAATGTGCAGAGCCAGAAACAAAAACCGCTTTAATTAAGCTATTTGAAGGTTGATTCCTTTCCAAAATAAATAACTAAATAAATCTGACCATCTCGATGCAGAGACATTGCCTTAAACAATGGCATGACTTTGGGGCGGGACAATCTGTTTCTACTGACCAATAGAAGATGGGGGAATGTTTTGAAAATTACACACTTTAAAAGTATTTAAATAGGATCCCTTGACAAAATGACCCCCATAACATGCATAAATAATACTGCATTAAGGCTATAATGTTCTTGAATGATCAAAGAATGATCTATCACTGTCCATTTAACCTCCATGTCATGTCTGAGAAGCCCAGACGGTCAATTCACCTGGGTAGTCGGGCAGCATACACATGCTGTGTCACAGTACAGTGTGTCATGTGATAATTCCATTATGCGGGGATCGGGCCTCCACAAATAACCTGGATTTATCCAGTCAGCTGACCTACAGATGGGGAGGAGGATGGAGGGAGGGAGGAGAATGAGCCTGAGAAAGAGATGGATGAGCAATGGTTCTAAGGAGTGGAAATAAGCTGGCTTGAAAAAGATGGAAGGCAGGAAGGATTAGGAGGACAGTAATACTGTCACACTTGAGCAGAACATCCAGCAGTCAGCGGCGGTACATGAGACCTGAGTCATCAGGCCGTTAGCAGGAGGAATGGAGTGGGTATTACTGCATGACTAACAAGCCAGGGAGATGACACTGCAAATACAACTCCTCCATGACGCCATTCATGCAGTCCAGTGATCACCTTTGGTATATTATATTAACACAGGCAAACCAAACATTGTTCATGCATTAACTGCACAGTGCAGCTCAGAATAGCCTGATGGATGAAAATTTATTTCTCAGAGGTTGTGCTTTCACAGTTCAGGTGACTAAATGAAGTTCTCAGCTATATTTCATTAAAGTATTCATTTCATCCCAGATTTTTCTTTTAAAATTCCTCAGAAGACCCCAAAAGACACAATTGTTGGCTTACAGTAAGAATTTAGAGTTTTAAAAATAGGACAGATAATGTGAAAAATGTTGAATGAATTGCAGGATTTCGTATCTTGGCAAATCTGAGCATAGTCTGGGACATCTTTTTAGATCTGTAAAGAAAATGTGGGATTACAGGGCCTCTTTTTTCACTGAAAAATTTGTGAAACTTAAGAAATGTATTAAGTGCACTTTAATTGTATTGAATGTGCACTTGCAATAAAAATAACTGTACTTGAAGATAATATAATATAACTTTGTTGTATTTAACATACTAAAGCACATGTAAAGTACTTCATTATATTTTGTTGTATAGACAACAGCAGTTTAAACACTCTTCAAAATATCTTCTCTGTGTTCTAAAAAATTAAGTCAGGTTTGGTGAGTAAATGATGACAGAATGTTCATTTTTGTGTGAACACAGCAAACAGAACACAACACCACTATAAACCTGAAGCTGTGAAAGACAACAGTTATTATCAGCTAGTAACAGCCAGCAGGAAAGAGAAAGCTTGTGAAATGAAACCTACTAGGGCAGGGATGAACTTGACTCAAGTTTCTCTTGTGTGTGTGGCCTGCTATGACACCATGCTATGAGACCTGTGTTGTTATTTTTGCCTCTTTTAATCTAATATACCGATAAGGTCAGCTGACTGGAATTTTATGAACCCTGATTATACGTCAATAAGACCTGAAACCGTTGATCTGAGTGTTTCAAAATCTTCCCAATGTTCTCCTGTTACACAGGCAGCTGTGCACACGACTATCAGTCGATCACCTCTCTGTGCTGGAGTCTGTGCTCTCTCAGGGTGTTCAGTGGAAAATTTACATCGAGGTCAACGTATCCCAGGTGTTATATTGCAACATTGCACTAGCCTATTCAAACAAAGTTGTGGACTAGTTGGGCCGCACATGTTCATAGATGTATCACTATGCTAGTTCTGTACTGTCTTGTTTCATTTCACTGTGTACTGCAGTATTTTTGTACAGAATGCACTGTAATTCAGTGAAAGTTCTTCAATGAATCACTTTCCCTTAAATCGCTGTATATGTGTCGTCTTGCCCTTCACGCTGTGTAGCGCTGTGTTCCTCCCCCACCTTCAGCTGATGAGAGTTCGCAACACTCAAACAAAAGCATCATTCACTGCTCTGCTTGTGCAACTCCACACTAAAGCAACAGCATTTATAAGGTAAACATGTTATTATGAATCTCAGTGTAAACGAGTGTATGTTGTGCATCATATAACCTGCAGTATTAAAGCAGCATCTGTTTGGTTCTTGGAAAGTGGCGTCCGACCTCAAGGCAAGTGCAATGGTCAGAGGCATAAGTCCTACTGTTTGTGATGTGCGTCACTGTGCTGCATTACAGCATTGTTAAACTGTGCACTTTACCCAGAATTCCTTTAGATGGATTACTGCTCTTAATGGCTGGCAGAGAGAGAGGGAGGCAGTTGCCATCTGCCCAGCCAGGCCTTGTCCAAGAACTATTTGAGTGCTTCATCTTTTTTTGTCTACTGCTGGCTGGAGGTCTATTAGGGCAGTGCTTCTAAACTGATGGGTTGTGACATAAAAATGCATCCCAGGTCTGTTTTGATAGGGTCATGTAAGGTCAAGTATAGCAGGGCGATAACAATGCTAAACGCAACTACACTGAAAAAAAAGTAAAATGACTGGCATTTGTTTAAATTGATCTAATCAAAAATAGTTTATTAAAACCAGTTTTTCTTTTTTTTCCCCTCAATCTGTCTTAAAGAAAATAACATCCATGATAGAAAAATCAAAATAAACTATTTTGTTAAATAGTAAATTTTGTTAAATAGATGTGCAGAGCACATACTAGCTAGCTTTACTGACAGAAATTATTATGGATTTTATTAATTTTTATTTAATTTATTTTTAAAGTAATTTTTTAAGTACATAACAGACGATTTTATATTTTAAATATATTTTAAATTATATATTTTTTAAAAGATATAATACAAAACATTAAGATTTTTCAAAGTTGTTTTTATTTATGTAATTTAAACAATTACAAACAAATTAACAACATGTTTTTAGTTTCATCTTAGTTGAAAATTCTACTTTCATATCTTATTATACTGTTTGAAACACTTTTCATATTTTCATACTATATTAAGCTTCTGTTTATGGTGAAAAAAGCAAATATATATATATGTCTTTAGGAAAATAAATATTTTGATTAATATATGAATTTGTATTCATTTGAATGAACATGGATAAAATAGCAAAATAAATAGACACTTAACTCATCACAAGTTAAAAGTTTGATTGTTTGTTTTGTATATAATTGTGTATTTAAAATGGTCAATTTTCAAAAATGGTTTGATAATATTCAATTTACTGTATGTTATGATTGTATAGATTGCATATTGTTAGGCCTATGCAAAAATAAATCACTTTTGATATTAAAGGCATATTTGTTTACTTTGGTGCTTTGGTTGCAATTTAATGTCCAATGTATGGATCCTGACGCAAAACCAGTTGAGAACTATGTTCAAATAGAATGTGCCAAATTTATAGAGGAGGACTTCATATTGGACCAATACAGCAACCAAAATGTTGTGACAAAAAACAACTGACAGACCAAATTTCCCCAAATATTCATTTATTTAAACAAGGACTGAAAAAGTGAACGCCTGCAAGCGGCACAGAGGAGTTATTTGGTCCATCTGCTCAAGAGCCTCATTTCATGACACAACACTGATGTCTGTTTCTTAGCTCATCCCGTTTTAGCTGTGCTGGCACAGTGCTGTGCGCTCTCATATTGCTGTGTGGCTCTCTGTGTCGTCTGATTAAAGCCCCATGTAAACTGAAACTCTTCCTCATGTTTCAGATTCAAAAACACTAGACCATAGTGCTGCTGTTATTAACACAAGCTATTGAAGGATACATTTGCATAGCCATTTGTAGAATAAGTGGACAAACAGTGGCAGTCGGTGTGTACAGAGACAGAAGGCACAGATTTCTCCTGGCCACCTCCTCTATTGGCAAGCTGGGGCTGACCAGATTGAATATTAGCCCAAAGTAACTACTAACTGGTTTACGGTGCTGTGAGACGTCAACATGATCAACAGTATTATGCTCCCCTCTAGTGTAAGAATTGGAATCGACAGGATTTTCCATCACTCTGTTCGAAAACTAAATCTATTTTATGTCTTTATACCTGTAATGTTGACTCCAGGAACAGTTTAGGCCAAGGACCAAAACATTTAAAGTCGACTTCACTTGAAACTGCATTAAATGAGAGCATTGTGTAACTAGGCTACTGCACAGTATTGTAGAAAGCCTAGCCTAAACTACTATTTTCAAAAGAAATTATTTATAATAGAAGATAGTAATGACATAATTTAGTTGTCATTGCAGATGAAATTAATTGCGTACTAAGTGAAGCCAGATTATCATTCTGTAAAATGGCAGTGTAAATCAATATTACAATTTGGTAGGTCTGTTCATTATTATTATTTTAAAGTCGAATTATATATAAAAATAATTGGATTACAAAATAGAAAAGTTGTCTAGTTCTCTAATCAAATCGGCAAAATAATCAAATCAGCATTTTTTTTTCTCTCTTTCTCTCTTGCACTTTTTTTTTGAGAATGTTTACTGCTTACTTTTCTACAAAAGCTGACTCTGAGAAACTCACAAGAAGTCCAATGTACTGTAATGTACCTGTGCAAATGGCAATACATTTCAAATTAATATAGAACTAACCACTCACTCCAGTATATGAAAATGAAAGCAATGAACTTTAGAAAAGTTCAAACTTTGCTAAACCTTTTAACAATGGTCCAGAATGATATGTGCCATATTATTGCATTATCTCAGTGTAACAAGTTTATATGACAGAATTTCAAATATGCGTTACTAATATTTTATTCTTCTGCGCTTCACACTCCTGTCCAGTTGGTGGCAGTAACGCATAACAAACCTGTATTGCGAGCTGCCATCAAAAACGTAGAAGAAGAAGAAAAGACCTTCAACTGACTTGATTTCTGGATCTTTCTTTCACTCCAGGACTGCCGTGCAAGCGGTGTCTTCTGGCTCGTGTCTGTTTTGAGGTGAGCTTGAAATATAAGTGCGTAAACATAACAAAAGGTTATTTATTGTTCATCTTAATGTGATATGTAAAATATTATGCAGTAGGCGTACAATGCTGTAAGGATAGATTTTAAGTTTAAGTATTTTTTGTAAGTGTAAATAAAAAATTAGATTTGTATTATAATGCCTTGTTCTTTCTAAATTGTATCTTAATATAGCTGAGTAGTTTTAAATAAGTTGTCCAAAAAAAAAAAGCACGTGGTCACAAGGGTCCACGTGTCGAGCTCAGATGCCTGTGTTCGTTCAATTTAACTTTTTTTTTATCTGTATTAAAAAGTCATTATGTGCATTGTTAATGTAGTTTTTGGCCAGTTTGGTAATTAAATGAATATGTATGTAATGTAATATGTAGTAGTCTGGCAGGCCGTTCAGCGAGGTTGAGTCTGAAGTGACTGTGTCCTTTCCTATTGTGTCTGCTAGATGGACATGAGGTGGTTTGAGGCCTGCTGTTTACCTTCTGCAGTATGGTTATAGAAACCTCAGACAATCAATACTTCAAACATGTGCTTGAAGGTCTCAAATTCTGCACAATGTAATCCTTTACTTGTGAAACTTCCTGAAATGGTCTTTCTTTTACAGCAAAATGGAAATTCCTTGAAGCCTTCAGAGAGCATTCATCTGGCCAAGTTAATGTTATATATTGGTCATGAGTTTGATGCCACCTTTGCCATGAGTTTCTCGCATTTGCTACAAGGAAGTAAGTTTGGTAAACAAATAATTCACACCTATTTTCAAAGCAACACTTTATTATACGGTTTTAGTTAAGCTTTCTCTAAAACCGAAGTCATTGTTGCAGGCTGACCAGCAAGGTTGAGTCATTGTGACTCTGTCCTTTCCTGTAATGTCTGCTAGAGCGATTTTGAGGTGGTTTGAGGCCTGCTGCGTTGCCCTTCCCAGCATGGTTATATAATCTTCAAACATTTCAACTAGCTGTCTGTAATCTTATGGGAATAAATGATTTTTCTTCATGTAAAATGTAATCTTATTTTCTTCTGTCCTTTACAGGGAGAAACGCTTACTTTGCTGTGGTGTTGGATCACCAAGTGTTCATTTTGAGCAAGGCAAGATATTAGGACAGCAGTGAATATTACATACTGTGAGATTGACATGTAACATTATTTTTGGTGCATTTGTTGTTCAAATGCTGAGTAGTGTTGTAACCCAGAGGTGAAAACCGTTTTTGGATGAATAAATGTTCAGCTAAATAAAGAGGAAAAAAATCTTTAAAGAAAGAAGCTGTTGTCTTTTTTTCCCCCCACATTGTTTCTTTCAATCATGTAGGTAGCATGAGAATAATTGTCAAATATAGTGCTGATTTTAAATCATCTATATTATATAAACAAAACTAGAATGATGAGTAAAAGGAAATAGCTTCAAAAATATGCTAAAATAACTCACTGTAATGTCTCCAGTTTACAGTGTGGATCCTGCAGTAGATCAGAGAGCAGCTTCACTCCTGAGTCTCCTAGTTTATTATAGCTTAGATCCAGTTCTCTCAGGTGTGAGGGGTTTGATTTCAGAGCCGATGTCAGAGCAGCACAACCTTCCTCTCCAATACTACAGTTACACATCCTGAGGAAAGAATATATAAAAATAAATAAATTAATAAATAAAATAAAAAATGTTGTGTTATGATGGGCATATTCGGTGTGAGTTTGAACTCTCAGGAGGTCCTGAGTGGCAGATTGGCATATTGTGTTGCAAAGGATTGAAAGAGCAGAGAACAGTATGGCCTTTTTCAGTGTGGCATTCTTCAATAACAACTAGAGTGTGTGTAGGCTTATGTAAGTACATTTATTTATGAGCATGTAGTGTAACCTATGTTTTTAGAATGGTTGAAAATGATATAAAGCTCATAACTTGCTCTTAGTCCATTTGGCTCATAATTCCTATTACAAGCTGACAATTTCCTATTACAAGAATCAACAATTTCAAATTCCTATTACAAGAATCAACAATTTCCACATGCTAATAGGCAAAGGCTGAGCCTTCTTAAAAATTGTATTACAAAAGAACATAACAATGAAGCTAAAGATATTCACTTGTGTTGTAATCAATATTACTCACCCTAGTTTTTTTCAGTTGACAGAGTGGATCCTGCAGTAGATCAGAAAGCAGCTTCATTCCTGATTGTCCTGGATAGTTATCATTCAAATCTAGTTCTCTCAGGTGTGAGGGGTTTGATCTCAGAGCTGAAGCCAGAACAGAACAACCTTCCTCTCCAAAACTACAGTTACACAGCCTGTGGTGAAAAGGAGAAAAACTCACATATTTATCATATTGATCTTTTTGAGTACAATACATATTGTGTGATGTTTTGTGTGCTTGTGTGTGGTCTGTCTGTGTGTGTATGTGTGTGTGTGTGTGTGTGTGTGTTTTCGATATTTTTAATTCATTTATATTTATGCATATATTTAATTTATATATTTTATTAAACCTTTACTATGTGACTTTAAACCTCCTCTCAGAACTAGATTAAATGGACCAGAGCTGTTGCAGGATGAATGAGTATTGACTATTGAAGATAAAAGGAGCCAGCACTGAACACGTGAACAGATATTACATTCACTCTAGGACACGATTCATTTCCGATGTCTGTGCTTGCTTTAATCCCTAAACTAAAAGAATCCCACTGATGATCATTGTAAGTGACATCGTTTTGAATGGCAGCGATATTTAAAACTAATAATGATAATCTATATAATTCACATTGGGTGCTTCTTTGATTTTAATGCACCCCTAGATGTGGATTATCATATTTGTACCATGATCACTTGCCAGCACAGACAAGTTAAAGCTGTTATTTGTTTATTTTTAGTTTGTTATTATTATTTTATAATTTGTTGTCATTATTATTATTGATTAGTTAAAGATATTTGTTATTATTCTTAGTTGTTAGATAATGTCTGCAGAGTGCAATGTGACTATAGATAGTCATCAATATATAGATATAGGATCAAATTAATGGCTTTCATTACCTATTTCATCTACGGGTTGTGTGATGAGAATTCTGAAGTTAAATAAAATAGCGCAGTAAGAATACTTTTATTTGTATGAATGAGCTTCTTGTCTTCAGCCATTTTGTTTGTGTGTGCGTGTGTGACAGAACGTTTAAAAAAAAAAAATGTCTGAGCGCAGTTTTAAAAGATGTGTCCCACCGTGTGAAAGGTACATCACACCTAGTGATTCTCATGAGCTATGTGTGGTGTGTCTGGGGGCACAGCATGCACGGTCGGCTCTCGAGGGAGCCGGCTGTGCCCACTGTGATCGTTTCACAGTGAAACAGCTGCGCTCCCGCTTGGCTCTGTTTACAGAGGACGGAAGCCAAGCGTCTGCGCCTCGTGGTGCTGGACCCGCTGCTGCCGAGGCAGAGCGCCGTCTGCACTCATGGGGCTCGCAGTTAGATCTGGCTGACGAGCTTGGGACGGGTCTCTCCCTATCCCAATCCTCGGTCGCCAGCTCTGTTGCTCTCGAACCGGATCTGGAAGCCCGGTCTCCAGTTTCTTCTGATCCGGCAGAGAGAATGTTACTCGGCCGGTCTAGCTCCGAGGAGACAGACGTGACAGGAGTTGAGGCAGAGGCTACATCACAAACCGCCTCCTCCTCGTCACCCGCGTATGGGGAATTCTTGGACGTCATGACCCGCGCCACCGGCAGGCTAACCCTGGACTGGTCGGCGGAGATGCAGTAACGTGCGTCTAGTGGCCGTCTGGATGAGCGCTTCCTAGCAGGTCATAAACGCTCCACCCCTCCGAGCCTTCCATTCCTTCCTGAGCTTCACAGCGAGCTGTTGAGGTCATGGAGGAATCCTTTCTCTGCCCGCGTCTTTCCCCCTAACAAGTCAAACTATGCTAATGTGAAGGGGCTGGAAGACAGCGGGTACACGAAGATGCCTCAGATGGAGGAATCCCTTGCGGGTTATCTCGCTGCTCCCCAGGCATCTTCGTGGAGGGCTCCTACCTTGCCTTCGAAGCCGTGCCAGTTTACATCTAGGCTCGTGGGCAAGGCATACGCGGCGGCTGGGCAGGCGGGCGGTACCCTGCATACTATCTCTGTATTGTTCAGACAAGAAGCTGATGACGTGTGCTACAGGTGCCCTTTTATACTCTTGGTCGCACCAGTAACACGTCATGGGCCAATGACAAGTTCATTGTCGTGTTTCCACATGCACTTCAGACACCGGTCACGCTGAGGGCGTTCCCCAAAGTGTCCTCTAGGGGACGCAGTGTCTCGTTCCCCTTCTCAGGGAACCATGGTTACATGGGTAACCTGAGACGTTTCACGGGTTGAATACATTTTTCCGTTCAGTGCCTGTTCAGCAATCTAACAATGTGACACAATGTTGATGTGTTTAGTCTTAACCATCAAAATTCGGTATTACTTTATTTTATACTATACATCTTTTTTCCTTTTTATCTTTAAAAAATAACCACTGGTTAGGTGATGACAAAAGAACTTGTGTAAAAATGTAAATTAATAAATAAATACAAAGGATAGAACATTTTGGATTGAAAATTTCAACCACTCAAACAATTCAACAACACAACAGACTAAAATAATAACACTCACAGCATTTTCTCCAGTTTACAATGTGGATTCTGCAGTAGATCAGAGAGTAGTCTCACTCCTGAGTCTCCTAGTTTATTATAGTTCAGGTTCAGTTCTTTCAGGTGTGAGGGGTTTGATCTCAGAGCTGAAGCCAGAGCAGAACAACCTTTTTCTCCAATACTGTAGTATTCCAACCTGCACAAATGAGGGGAAAATCCTCATCTTCAACTGGTAAAATGGAATTCTCTGTAATGATTGAGCAAACTGAAAAACAACAGAAAAATCCCCACCACTACTGCACAGACTGACAGTCTTTCTGGTGTGTGGAGTGATACAAATTTCTAATTCTGTCAGGACCACTATCGTCAAAATGATAGATACTTAGCACAAAGTTTGGTTTGATGGTATGGTTCTGTTCTGGGCAAAAAACTCCCTGCACATCCATGCAGCCTGTCATGAATGAGGAGGAAGAGCAGCAATAGTAACCCCCCATAGGGTTAACAGAACAGAACAAGGTAGATATCATTAATGTACTTAATGATATTTAAGTGTAACACTTTATTCAAGATAAAGGAGTCTGATTAGCAAGGAATATCAGAAAGCCAAGTCCTGACTGTGGCGAAAGGAGGAGCTGGGGATGGAGGAGGGTAATTTGCTCCTGAGCAAGCTGAAAAGCTGCTGAATAATACTGAATAGAGCTTATATAGGAATGCTGCGATAGGTGTCATATTCCTATAGGTAGATGTGATCAGCTGAGAATCAGCTGATGCAAGCTTGACTCACGTGACCTGCCAGAAGTAACGCTAACGCTTAATTTCTGCTGAACTATATAAATGCACTTATGGAATGCTGCCAAGATAATCAAATCTGAAGACCTGATCTGAATACTGAGATCCAGTGACTGTGAAAACTTTCTGCTTCTTTCCATAATAATGTGTGCATTGTTTTGCATACTTTATAACTGATGATCAAACACACAGACTTTTCAGATATTTTCATGTAGCAACAGAAACAATTTTCATTTAATACTTACTTTATGCACTGCTTAATACAGTGCTTGTGTGACATGCATTAGCAAGCAGGAGTACAGGTATATCTAATACAGTGAACACTGAGTGTATTCTCTTTTAAAATGGTTTCATTATTTCTTACTGTAATGTCTTCAGTTTACACTGAGGACTCATTAGTCCAGCTGAGAGCAGCTTCACTCCTGAATCCAGCAAATTGTTGTAACTCAGGTTCAGCTCATTCAGATTTGAGCTATTTGAGCTGAGAACTGAGGCCAGAGCTGAACAGCTTTTCTCCATGACTGGACTTTTTTCCGTCTCAGAGTGGAAATTATAACATAAGAATCTTATGTTATTTTACTTATATAAGTGTAAACAGTATAACATTTTAGTATAAAAATTTTAAACAGTACAAAAAAGTTAAAAATATGAAATTTTAAAATATTAAGTAAACTATCACAATTTGACTCAGTTACTTACAAATTTAAACCCATTCTATTTTCCATTTTCAAAAATATTAAAGATTTCTTTCACTCTTGATGTTTTATCTATGAACACTATTGGTGTGATAAATGTTTTAGTTGATTTTTTAAAACATTTTGTAAAAAAAAAGAAAACAGGTTGTGTTTTGATTTGTCATTGAATTAATGTATGACTGATGACAGGTATCATCTGAATCAGCAGATTCAGATTTGGTATCTAATATTTCAAATAAAATATTTTTTTTTACCAATTTGTAAAAAAAACATTATCTTACAAAAGCCCATTATCAATTAATGCAACTCATCCCATTTACTTCAACTGGACCCATAAAGATTGCACAAAATGGGAGTGTATAAGGTAAATTGGACAATTGTGAAAGTGATTAATATGCACATAGCACTATAGCAGTATAAAAAAAATAAGTTAAAAATTAAGTCAAAATTTGAGTTACAAAAAATGCATGCACAAAGCTTAAACTGATGGCCATGTTTTATTGTTACAGCTTAATTTTAACACAATGTAGAATTTTGTATGTTTCTGGAAATGTGTCTTGGCCAGTGGTTCTTAATTCTGGTCCTGGGGACCCCCTGATCTGCACATTTTGCATGTTTTCCTTATTCAACACACCTGACTGAGATTATCAGCTTGCTTGGAGAGAGCTCCATGAGCTGAACTGACTCTGCGTCCCAATGTTCATACTATCCATCCTAAATAGTATGTGAGATTAGAATAAGTGTGTCCCAAAGCATAGTATGTTAGCATAGGATTTGGTTCAGAACTACAAACATGAATAAAAAGCGTTAAAAAACATGGCAGATGTGCACAATCGACTGTTAAGTAGAGAGGTTTAGGTAAAGGGGTTTGAGTTACTAATAATCAACATTTGACCTGGTAAAAAATATTTAATGTTACCTGTGTCATATTTCATCTACAAAAACGTGAGTGAACTTTTATAAATATCCATTTGGTCGTTAACTTTTAAATGCATCATTATGCAAAAAATATGAGCAGAGTTCTCTGCATGAACGACTTTCGGCTGGCAGATCAACGTTCTACTTCTTTTCTCTCCGATATGGTAGGAAGTTAAATGAAATGAAATGTGGAGGATGTTAATTGTGACAAGATGATTGACAGGCCAGTTTACAGTAACAGGGTGTGTGTAACTATACGACAGAGCAGTCCGTTAAAGATGCAATTGTATGACGTGATAGTACGTCCCAAAGCTTGCGCACTCTTCTACTACACACTCAAAAGTGTGTACTTTTTCTTCACCAAAAGAGTACATAGTTTAAGGGTGTAGTATAAGTAGGCACATTGGGATGCAGCATGAGTGTGTCAGATAAGGGAGACATACAAAATGTGCAGAGCGGGGGTCCCCAGGACCAGGATTAAGAACCACCGGTCTTGGCCATTTGTAAAACTTCATTATTATCACTGCAGTACAATATTCAACACTGTAAAATACTCACTCAGCTTTTGTAGATGCTTTTATTACTGGCAGCAGACTCAGAAGACATTCCTCTGATTTATGATATTTACTCAGTTTAAAGTCATCCAGCTTCTCTTCTGAGGTCAGCAGCACAAACACCAGAGCTGACCACTGAGAAGGAGACAGTTTAACCCCAGAGAGTTGACTGTCATCAGTTGTGCTCAGGTATATTTGGACTTCCTGCACTAGAGAATCATCATTCAGTTCATTCAGACAGTGGAACAGATTGATGGAGTTCTCTGAAGAGGAATTCTCCCTGATCTTCATCTTAATGTATTCAACTATTTCCTGTTCACTGCGAGATCTGATTCTTGTCTTTTTCAGTAGACCTCGTAAGAGAGTGTGATTGGACTCCAGTGAGAGACCCAAAAGGAATCTAAGGAAAAGATCAAGGTGACCGTTTTCACTCTGTAAGGCCTTGTCCACTTCACTCTTACGTGAATCAGTCAAAGATGATCTGAACATGCTAACAAATCCTGTTTGTTTAAAAAAGCAAAGAAACACATGTAAAGCAGCAAGAAACTCCTGGATGCTCAGATGTACAAAGCTGTACACCTTCCCTAGGTACAGCCCAAACTCCTCTCTGAAGATTTGGGTACAAACTCCTGAATACACTGATGCATCTCTGACATCAATGCCACACTTTCTCAGGTCTTCCTCATAGAAGATCAGGTTCCCTTTTTCCAGCTGTTGAAAAGCCAGTTTTCCCAGTGACAGGATATTACTTTTAGCCTGTTTAAGATTTACGTCACATTTCCCATCGTACTTCAGGGATTTCAGTTTGAGCTGAAAGATCAGGAAGTGTGTGAACATTTGAGTGAGAGTCTTGGGGATCTCTGCACTCTCTGCTTCCCTCAATATTCTCTCCAGAACAGTAGCTGAAATCCAGCAGAAGACTGGGATGTGACACATGATGTGCAGGCTTCTTGATAATTTGATGTGTGCAATGATTTTACTGGCTAGACTCTGATCATTTATCTTCTTCCTGAAATACTCATCCTTCTGAGGATCATTGAACCCTCGTACATCTGTGACCTGGTCAACACATTCAGGTGGGATCTGATTGGCGGCTGCTGGTCGAGAGGTGATCCAGAGGAGAGCAGAAGGAAGCAGATTCCCCTTGATGAGGTTTGTCAGCAGCACATCCAATGAGGCTGATTCTGTCACATCACACAAAATATAATTGTTCTGAAAATCCAGAGGGAGTCGACACTCATCCAGGCCATCAAAGATAAACAGGACTGTGAAGTCATCAATGTTTGATGAGTTCAATTTATTTGTATGTGTGAAAAAATGATGAATCAGGTTAATCAAACTGAGATTGCTCTCCTTTATTAAATTTAGCTCTCTAAAAGGAAGTGGAAAAATGAAGTGGAGATTCTGATTTGCTTTTCCTTCAGTCCAGTCCAGAACGAACTTCTGCACTGAAACTGTTTTTCCAATTTCAGCAACTCCTTTAGTCAGCACAGTTCTGATGGATTTGTTTTGTCTAGGTAAAGGCTTAAATATGTCATTGCATTTGATTGGTCTTTCCTGTGTCTCTGGTCTCCTGGATTGTGTCTCAATCTGTCTCACCTCATGTTCATTATTGACCTCTCCACTCCCTCCCTCTGTGATGTACAGCTCTGTGTAGATCTCATACAGAGATGTGGAGATGCCTTGATTTGATATTCCTTCATGAATTCTCTGAAATTTCTCCTTTAGTCTGGATTTGTGTTGCTTCACATAAAAAGGGGCAAGTCCTAAGGAGCAGAGGAAAATGGGAATCAAAATAAATGTGTTATTCACAAACAACAAATAAATGCGTGGATCAATGTGGAAAATCATAATTTCCATGTAATATGTAAATTGTCAGTGGATTGTACTAATATGTACTTAAATGCTTAAACAATCCAGCTAAATGTCTAAGAAAAATGATTAAAACACCTGATTTTACTGTTTTAGACTCTCCTCTTATCAACTGCTATGTATAAACAGCTGCTGTATTTCATTCATAGTTATGGATCAATGTGGAAAATCATAATTTCCATGTAATATGTAAATTGTCAGTGGATTGTACTATGTACTTAAATGCTTAAACAATCCAGCTAAATGTCTAAGAAAAATGATTAAAACACCTGATTTTACTGTTTTAGACTCTCCTCTTATCAACTGCTATGTATAAACAGCTGCTGTATTTCATTCATAGTTGCCGATTCTTTAAATCCTAAAATCTCCTAAATTATTTGTATGTTTACGTCATGGTAATATGACTCAGAGCTCTTACTGGTCTGTAGTATGTTAACAAGGTTTGTCTTGTTCATCCTCCTTAGGACATTCAGGGTGATCTGCAGAAGCCCCTGTCTGACTCTGCTTTCACCTGCATCCACCTCCTCCTTCTCCTCTCTCTCAGAGCATGCGGAGTAATCTGGGCTCAGAGCTCCTTTGATCCTCTTCAGCTCTTTCTTTGTCAGAAAGATTATTTTGTGTTCAAGCTCCTGAAATTGGTGTTGACAGAGAGCATTCAAACAACGAACCTCCTGAATCATAAATCATAGAAAACTTCTGTAAAGCCTCAAACAGCAGAATCTACAGTTACAACATGTATGAGCCAGAAGATATCAATAAGGTTCTTCGATCCTTTTATGCATCCTCGAGGCACATATAGTCGACCACAGGTGTCGTACATAAACTGACTAGATGTTGTTAAAACAATACTCTGTCTCATAATAGGGAGACCAAGATCCAAAAGATCCATGTAAAAAAAATTACAATTGCATCTTTGCATCTTTACTGAACCCAACAATCCAAAGTGTCCCAGTGCTAGTTTAAATAAGTACCTGGGCCTCTGTCCGCTGGACTCAGATGCTTTGCTTTTTGGTTGTTGCTTTTTAAGGGTAGTCATGGTCTAATGGTTAGAGAGTCGGACTTATAACCCGAAGATGATGAGTTCAAGTTTTAGTGCCGGTAGGAATTGTAGGTCGGAGGAGTGAGTGAACAGTGCTCTCTTCCACCCTCAATACCACAACTGAGGTGCCCTTGAGCAAGGCACTGAATCCCCGCAACAAACATGGCTGCCCACTGCTCTGGGTGTGGGTTCACTACTGTGTGTGTACTTGGATGGGTTAAATGCAGAGCAAAAAATCTGAGTATGGGACACCATACTTGGCCACATGTCACGTCACTTTTTTAAAATCTCCATCCACTATGAAAAAAAACAGGATTAACTGAACAAAAGAGCAGTGTAGTACTCTAAAGAGCCAATGGAACATAACTACCTTGTAGGGATGGCTCGATACCACAATTTTGGCTTCAGTACAATACCAGAATCTAATACCTCAGTATCAACATTAAATCGATACCACAGTTGACAAATAAGCAGCCACAAATAAGCCAGGGTTTAACAAATTCAAACTTTCAGAGAAAAAAAATCAGTATCATGGATAGCTCTGTCCATACGGAAGCTCATTTTGCTTTCTAGAAATTTACAAAAGGCAGCAGGATACAGAGGACAATGAATACACAATAAACGGATTCAGGGGTGTCCAAACTCGGTGCTGGAGGGCCGGTGTCCTACAGAGTTTAGCTCCAACTTGCCTCAACACACCTGCCTGGAAGTTTCTAGTATGCCTAGTAAAACCTTGATTAGCTGGTTCAGATGTGTTTAATTTGGGTTGGAGCTGAACTCTGCAGGACAGTGGCCATTCAGGAGCAGGATTGGACACCCCTGAACAGATTAGTGTTCTAGGTCAGTGGTTCTCAACCCTGTTCTTGGAGACCCCCAACACTGCACATTTTACATATCTCCTTAATCAAACACACCTGCTTCAGGTCATCAGCTCATTAGTAGAGACTCCAAAACCTGAAATGGGTGTGTCAGACAAAGGAGACATGCAAAATGTGCAGTGTTGGGGGGCTATAGGAACGTGGTTGAAAACCACTGTTCTATGATATTCGGATAGAGAGACATACACAAAAACACTCCAACCTTAAAAATCGAGTCCAACGGCTTCTGTCCAGTGGAGTTTGATTCTGACAGTGATTCATCATGTTGGTTTCTGTTGGTTGTTGAAATAAGTTCAACAACATAAGTTTAAGAGCAACCATATTTGTATTTAGGGTAAATAAATGGAAATATTTGATAATTTAGTTGTTATAACACAACCACAAACCTACTTAATCATCTAATTCGGGGTGTCCAATCCTGCTCCTTTGAAGGGAACTCCAACCTTCCTGGATGTTTCAAGAAATTGTAAGGTTCTTAATTAGTTGGTTCAGATGTATTTAATTACATATACACATTTGGCAGACACTTTTATCCAAAGTGCTTTACATTGCATTCTAGAAATACATTTTATCAGTTCGTGTATTCCCTGGGAATCCATGGGAATAATGCTAGCATTGCTAGCACCATGCTCAACTCTTTGAACTACTGCAATGCTATTAGGGGTGAAACTAACTTCTACAGGAAGGCGGACCCCTAGGAGCAGGATTGGACCACCCTGCTCTAAACTGTCCTCACCTCAAATCAACAGGAGAGTCTGTCTCATTTATTTCAGGTGGGTCACCCATTGATGCTTCACTCTTCATAGACAAACAGCTGGGTTCAGGAGGTCTTCCCTGAATCAGACTAACACACATACACAGTTCAAAAATGTTCTTTACAAGTTCTACAGGTAAAGGGGAAAAACAGGCCATAATGACGTTTTTTAGATAAAAATCTAACCTGAATAATCATTGTAACATATTAATACATAACTTTATGTACGATCGCTGTATTCAATTTTACTTTGCAGTATACTTGCAATTCATATGTATATACTGCCTGGCCAAAAATAAAATAAAATAATAAAATAAAAAATAATAGTAATATTAAGTGATAAAGTCACTGTCTGGATTTCAAGCAAATAAGCAGAAACCTAAGATTTTAAAACTGAATCATTATTGCAGTGAATAGTTTTTTGTTTTTTTTTTGCATGTTTTGTATGTTTGGTATGCTGGTATGTTTGCTATGAGGTTTGGGCATCGTTTGAATTTTATCAATTCCAAGTCCGGTGAGAGAGAATTCAATAGTTGTGGAACTCCAGTAAGTAAGACTGTCAAGGCTATTTTATTCACTTGAACATCGGATGAAGTGATTATTTTCTCTTTAATACATGATGCCAATGTATTTTTCGATGAGTATGCTATGTTAGCAAATATATGCTAACAAGTATGCTATGTTACCAATTGCTACTTAAAACTAGCCCAAACAAACCGTGTTTCGAGGGGGGTCCCCCGGTAAAATTCGCATTCCGGGGGCTAAAATACACGTTATTGGGGTCACTTCAACCCGCGGACATGGAAAAACAACCCGCGGCAACAGTGATAAAGTAGCCCAATTCCACGGTAAAACCGGGGACTTGGCAACACTGTGACGGATAGTAATGTCTACAACTGACACGAGCGCTGTCTCGGCGCGACCACAACAGCTTGAAGTTGTCTAATTTGGCACGGTCTCCCTGCTGCACTAATAGTAGTAAGGCTTTCCTCTGTGTATACATATCCTTACAAGTACAATTTTAGCTGTTTTATTTGTGTCCCCCTTCAAAAATTGCTCTTGAGAAATTTTATGTTTATTGTCCCCCCCAACTGTTAGACGAAATTTACGTCCCTTGCTTCAGTCGCCATTCATTGTGTGCATTTTTGTATTAAAGCCCTGCGTGCTGTTTTCTTAATCCCGCTCCCGCTGAATTTCTGGTCTGCTCCCACGAACATTCTAATATTGGATATAATTTTCACGCATCAGGGAGCCGCTATCAATATGCAGAGTATTTAAATCACTTTGGATGCAGCTCGTGTTGGATGCAGGGTTGCCAAATCCACATTTTTTTGCACGAATTGAGCTGATTTTAAACTGTTGCGGAGGGTTGATTTTCTCCCGTGGGTTGAAGGTGAAATACTGCATAAATTACATTTGACTGAAATGCTTGTTTTGAAACATTTTGCATTCTGCCTATGATAAAACTGGTAAATGTTAAGTTTTGTGAAGGATGGCCAGCGAAAACCTTTGAGCTGTGTTTATGATCTGCATAACGGTGTAAAATATGTATTTTAGGTATGGAAATGACATATTTTGAGTTTTGATATTTGGGATATGTTCATTGCGCTACTTTGGAGGCCACTTTAATCCCCCCCCCAAACAAACACAACAACCCCACCATATCAGCAGCACATGTGAAAGTGTGAATGAGTACTAGTCAGGTAAATGGAGTGGGCTCTCTCATAATTCTGCACAAAATCACTGCCATGAATTAAGAATGGTATCAAAACGTCCTGCAAGAGAGACTTCTTCCAACGATCCATGAGCAATTTGGTGATGATCCGAGCATTTACTAAAATTAAATAATCTTTTAGAGCAAGAGGGCCCCCTGGTGTTTCGGGGGTCCTACGCAGCTTGCGTATTTTGCATATAGGGAGGATCGGCTCTGCATGGAAATGTAGTCATTTCACAATAAATTGATATAATTAAAGTCTACTGTGTTTCACAGTCAACACATGGCTTTTTGGCTAGGTTTAAAACAAGGAAAAGTGTACTTTTAGATAAACAAGGCAACATAATAGATGTACTTGTGGTGGTAGAAAAACAAAGTTCTTTAAGACCTGCGGGATTGCTTGTAATAAAGATTTAAATGCAAAAGAAAAGGCACGAGAGTCGACTGTTTCTTTAGTGGTGACTCAAGTTTTAATTTAAAATGTTTGTGATTGCCTACTTTTAAAGGGTTACTCCACCCCAAAATGAAAATTTTGTCATTAATCACTTGCCCCCATGTCGTTCCAAACCCGTAAAAGCTTCGTTCGTCTTCGGAACACAATTTAAGCTATTTTGGATGAAAACAGGGAGGCTTGTGACTGTCCCATTGACTGCCAAGTAAATAACACTGTCAAGGTCCAGAAAAGTATGAAAGACATCATCAGCATCATCAGACTGCCATCAGTGGTTCAATCTGAATTTCATGAAGTGACGATAATACTTTTTGTACGCAAAGTACGCAAAGATAACGACTTTATTCAACAATTCGTCTCCTCCGCATCACCGTAGCGCCATTTTGGAGAGAATATCCATTGAGCGTAAACTGCGTATACTGTTCTACTTGTCTGTGTCAGCTGCACCAAAAGGGATACATTTTCTATGTTTATTTACGCTTTGATTTGAACGAAAACATCATATCCGTGTGGTGCGGCTGACACAGAACATTATTATATATAGAACATTATTTACTTGGCAGTCAATGTGACAGTCACAAGCCTCCCGGTTTTCATCCAAAATATCTTAAATTGTGTTCCGAAGACGAACGAAGCTTTTA